ATTCTGTGCAGTTTGTACCCCTGTTGGGAATCCAGTTTGTGTGGGTTGTGTTTTTGTTTGTTTTCCCTCCACCACCAGGTGGCGGAAAGTGCGCATTCAGCTTGGCAAAGAACTCATGCTCTTCCTCAATACTGAAGTCCTCAGACATTTTTCTTTCTTTGCACAGGTAAACAGCACATTTCTTCTTCTACGCTTGCATTATCGGCAGAGCAGACGCTGAATGCGCACTTTCATCTGGTTTGGTCTGCCGCGGTTTCCGTAGACTCGTGAACTCGCAGGCGCGCGCTTTTAGGAAATCCTATACACTACTGTTTATGCTCTAAAAACATTCTAAATGACTTAGTTTCGAGTAAATTCTGGATGCTACCCACTCAGGACACTTGGATTACATTGGACGAGCAGTATGGAGGAATATTGACACGTTTTTTGTGGACTTTTATGGACCTTTCTGCCTCGGGCGCCATAGACCTCCATTATTTGAATGTCAGCAGACAGCAAGAAGCCTCCCAGATCTCCAGATGCATTTGAGATATCAAAAAAGTACTCCAGAGTGTTGTTCAGCATGGGGGTGAGTAGAAAATGAAGGCTAATCATGTTTTGGGTGTACTATTCCTTTAAGCTGCTGACTGCCACTACCTCGACGGCAGAGTGTTTGCCAGTTTTGGGTGCTCTAGCCAAGCTGAGTTTTGCTGAGTCAAACTGAGTTTTTGTCAACCTGAGTCTTAACATTGTTGTTTTTGTCTTTGCCTCTCGGCAGGAAGTCATCCTGCAAACTGGATGTTTGGACCTTCTCTCCCTGGAAGGATCGTCTAAGTTTCAAACTGAGCTGGGGATTCAATCTGGAGGTTTGGATCTACATTTTTACCCAAGGGATTGTTTGAGCTACACTCTGAGCAGGGGATTCATCTTCACAAGAAACAGTTCAAGTACCATTGGAAATCTAAGTGGCAGTCAGTTCCTCCGTTCGTCAAGGAAACACCTGAACCTGGGTCAACCCTGTCCGCCCTACAACGAGCAACTCAATTACTGGAACAACCCACACCGACTGGATTCAGAGAAAGACACCTTTTACTGGAAATGTGAGTCCCGTTGCTTTTATTCCCTTTTTGCCAATCGAAGCTCAAATTTCCAACTGAGCCTGAACTAATCACAGGAACTTCCCTTTCACTTTTCAGTCCCGTTCGCCAGTGTTCAGAGCAGCACTGGACCCATCTCTACCAGTTTTTCCTTCCCTTGGTCTCTCTGCTTGGTTTCCTGCATGTGGGTCAGATCTTAGAATTAAATTATGACACCCGCCAACAATATTTTGTTCCACTAAAATGGTTTAGCCCATTATTTACATGCAGTAACGGGTTTTTCCAGGCTGTCTTTAAATGCACTATAAGCATACACTGCTAAAGCCTGGGCTCAAAGAAGGAGGACTTGCTACTGAGGCTGCATGGTGCTTCACAGTGTGTCTTTGTCAGGATGTTTAGCAAAGCAGCCAGACCAGCAAAAGGCAGAAAGCTTTTGACTTTTTTTTTTAAACAAATTGTATTACTTGAATAATTTTGTTGCATGCAGATAATGATAGATATATAAATACATACCACCATAGCAAGTTAACTTAGTAACAACTAATTTTACCCATGTTGCATACCTTGTTAATGAAGCTCTAGCGGAAGTTCAATTGAAGAAACTCTGACTTACCTCCATCAATCAGAAGCTGATCCGTCTCTGAAGCGAGCCAATCAGCTTCGAACTACTCCACCACGAAGCCCAATCAGCGTCCTACTTCCACTTTATAAACTCCCTCAAATCTCACCCCAGCCGCTATCCTGCAATCGCAATGTCGGATTTCGATTCAGACGACAATTCACCCACCTCCATCCCCTTCTCCGCCATCGCAGCTGAATCGTCCTTCATGACCCGACTTCACCTCAACCTCATCAGAGAGTATTAATCCCAGTTGTCACCATCCCTCGTCTCATCGCATTGGTCCGGCAGAAGACCACCATGTTGAGCCCGGTTCTGCCAGAGGTTTCTTCCCAAAGGGGAGTTTTTCCTCTCCACTGTCGCTTCATGCTTGCTCATCATGGACAGTTCACGGTACCTGCATCACCGAGCAGGACCTCTATATCCCGAGTCTGAGTGAAGCCCCGGCGTCAGCTCCCTCAGTCTTCTAGTCCCACAATTCTGCCCAGCAGATCACCTTGTCAACCAGCTCGGATCAAACCACCACCAGTTTCAGGCCGGGGGGAACATCCCTATTCACATTCATCTACTCATGCATGTTAAAGCATAATTCAGCATGAATGTTCCTGCCGAGGTCTGAGCGCCAAAGACTATACTTCTTATCAATAAATTCTTCTAATTATCTTTTCTCTCTGTGTGAGTTTTTCAGATTGAACTGTAGTTAGTTCAAAGTCATAATAAATCCTCATTAATTTCTGTGTAGAACTTGTTTACTGTGCCTTTCCACATATTTATAAGAAATATTTATTGTCACAATAAAAACAACCAAATTTAAGCAGAGCTGAGGACACAGGTAGTAAATAGTAATGCTGAGTCTTCACAGGTAAAAAGAATTTCCTAAAACCTTTGGGATTAATTAATTAAGTATTTTTGAATATAACTGAGTTAAATTGAAGACAAAATACTTTTTAAATAAATTCTAGGAGGTAGAAGCCCAGGAAGAAGGCTTTGTGTCGGGGCAGAGATCACACCAAGCCGTGTTCCTGTGTGTCATATCCACTATTTCCCTTTGTTGGCTGCCATGCTTTTCTGTTTACAAGAAGTGCCATGTACAGCCATGGAGGAAACATTCGTCGTTGGGAATCACTTAGTGGCTGATTGGAAGAGCTTGTCAAAGAAAACTGTGCCGCTAAAGTTAGAAGCCTACACTAAAAATGCCTGGAGTCCTGCATGTGTGCAATCACTGAGTAAATTATCTTAACATGTAAAAAGCCTTTTTTGGGAGATATTAAAATAAAATCAGGCACCAGGCCTTTTATAATCAGGCTTAGTACCCTGTAAATTCCAAAGGCAGTCAAAGTGGAAGACGTGGACTGACTCAACCCCCTAACAACATGGATTCTGATGAACATATACAGGACTTGCTTTTTTATCTGAACATTTCATTTTATAGCTGGGTAAAATATCGCAATATACAGTGATTTTGCAATACCGTGATAATATCGTATCGTGACACGTATTGTATCGCAAGATATATGCCACTGCATTGTCGCTACAAGCATGCTTGGTGTGAGGGACTGCTGAAGAATCAATCAATGATATCAGTTGGTTTTCCATGGAGAGAAAACATTGAATCAATCTGACTGTATGATCTGGTTGAATTATCTCTGTAAAGTACTTTGAGAAGACATGTTGTGATTTGGTGCTCTATAATAAAACTGAAGGGATTTGAATTTAATTAGGGAGATATGATTAAAAGCAAAAGAAAATGTCTCAGTAGACGTATGCTGATGAAGGTTCTCAGTCATCCAGGTCATAGCCATTCTGTAAAAATAAAAAAAATATCCACTGGACTTGGTTTCCAAGATTTGAAGACGTTTCTCCACCTCTCCAGGAAGCTTTCTCAATTCAAATGTCTGGATCTGCAGAGAGTTTGAGTCTTATATAGACAAAGCCTTGTACCATTTACATGTTTCCAAGCGATACAAGCAGGGTTCTTACGGATGCTGGAAATCCTTGAAAATGCTTGAATATTGACGTTGTGTTTTCAAGGTTTGAAAAGTGCTTATATTTTGGATGAAATGCTTGAAAATGCTAGAAATTGTAACAATTTCTTTTGCAACAAATACCTATCTAACTGAATCGTGTGTTTATTAAATGGAGAAATAAAATGTTTGAGAGCCTGAAAATGAAACCTGCTTGCTTATGTGTGACTGCGATCTGCCAGTCTATTTCCACGTGTGACTCCGCCCCCATGAAACCATGAAAGTCATCCACGCAAAACTGGTTCCGTAAGGTGCTGGAAAAAGTTTTAAAATGGATCTTGAAAGTGCTTGAAAAGTGCTTGATTTTGACTTTGGAAAAGGTGTACGAACCCTGTACAAGGCTTTGTCTATATAAAGACTCAACCTCACTGCGGATCCAGACATTTGAATTGAGAAAGCTTTCTGGAGAGGTGGAGAAACGTCTTCAAATCTTGGAAACCAAGTCCAGTGGATATTTTTTGAATTTTTACGGAATATCTCAGTAGACCACTGAAAAATAGAACATGTGTGATGTACCGTAATTTTCGGACTATAAGCGGCGACTTTTTCCCCATTTTTCTACCTTTCACCTTATATAACAATGCGGCCTATCTATGGACTTTTACAGCTAACCGCCACTTAGGGTAAACATAAATCTATGGATTTTACCATCCACCATGTTGACGTCACATTTGCTCCAACACACAAGTACGGTAGCCGCGCGCGGGGGGAAGCGGAGGTCCTCGGGAAGCAGACTTCTACCGCGAGTGGTACGAGACAGAACGACAGCGAGAAAGACGGACACTGCGAGCGCAAGACATTTTGTGTGACACCCTCATTATGGAAAACAAATGTACCAGTAGAAATAATAAATAGGAGCGTCCCCAAACAGTTGCCTCTTTCCAATCCTCTACATGCACGAACCATATGGTAATTAAACATAAAAAACCTGCGGCTTATTCAGGTGCGGCTAATAGTCAGAAAATTAAGGTATATCATACAAAATCTTTCACAGTCAGTGTATGCTAACAAAGGGAGGGTCAATTCCTCTGAGTCTGAAGCCGAGGTTCCCAATAAATAAAAGGATGAATGTTACCTCTGGGTCAGGGGTCAGTCTTTACCCCAACTGGAAGAATTTAAGCATCTTGTTGTCTCACAAGGATAAAATGAAATGATAAAATGAATAGAAACCAGACATTGACTCTAAGTTTAATTTCTGTAGAGGATCTAAGCCCCCATACACGCTGATCTCTGACCCCACTCTTGGGAATCAATGCCTTATAATAAATCTGCTGTACTCACCTATATACAATGAAGAGTCCTTTTTGTGGACGTGGTCATCGATATAAGACACCCCCAGAGGCTGGACAGGGGTAGCCCCAATACCGAGCAGAACCTGCGCTCCGATCAGCAGAAGGTACATCATGTTGGTGTTGGATCGGTTGCTGCAGTTAAACCCAGAGTCTCGGTTCTCAGACCTGGTTTTATTGGAACAGATGTCCCTGCCATCCTCGGTGTGCCAAGAGTCCCCCGCTTCGTACTCATACTGGTGAGTCAAAAACTCTGGCAGAGCTGACAGCAGTGCCCCCAATGCCATGACAATCCCCCCACAGCCAATGAGCCGTGGCCGGTGGGCCTTAGCGCCAAAGTAGCTGACGAACAGGATGAGGGCCAGGTTGCCGATTTCAAAACTGCTGGCGATGACGCCCACATCGGCACTTTGGAGGTTGAAACGTCTTTCCAGGGTGGTCAGAACACTTACCTAACAGGAAAGCAGACGAAGAATAGTAGTCAGCACCGTTACTGGAACCAGACAGAAACTAGGGGTGTAAAGCACAAACTTTATCACAATACAATATTCTATCAATTTGAGTGAAAGATGACAGCATTTCCAGACATAACAAAATCTATGCAGGAATGATTTTCAATTCAATCAAATTTACAAGTCTGCAACCAATATGATCGTAACAAATTTAAATGGTAATTGGCTTGTACTCATATAGCGCCTTACACTACATGCAGTCATTCACTCACACACTGATGGTGGCAATCTACATTATAGCCAAAGCTACCCTGGGGCTAACTTGCAGAAGCGAGGCTGCTGTACACTGGCGCCACCGGGCCTTCTGACCATCATCAGTAGGCAATGCTGGTGAATTCCCTTGCCCAAGAACATAATGATATTGGACGCCGGAGCCAGGGCTTGAACCAACAACCCTGTGGTTGCAAGGCAAACTCCTTATCCGACGCCACTACCGCCCAAATCATTCAGGACTATAACAAAACTCAGGCATTTCAATTTAAAATCAGCATTCTTCTTAGCCTGATAAACCAGACTAAACGTGAGATTAAATGTGTAATTTAGTCTGATTAAATTGTTGATGAGAACAACCCGTTGTGTTTCAAACTGTTGTCTGTGCCTATTGGCCAACGCTCTGACCAATGAGCGGAACTGACTGCGACGTAGTAAGCGTGACAGAAAGCTGGTGGGGAAGAGTAAACAAACAGCCTGTAGGTAAAACGGGGAATATATCCTTCTTAAAAGTGAATGAGCGTAGAGCCTGTCCCTGCTCACATCTCAACAAAAAACCCAAATCTAATCCTTCCAGAACTGATTCCAAAGCTGAGTCAAACAAGAACTGTTCAATAGTTGTTGCCATCTTCCTTGTTGTGCTTTCTCCAGCGTCGCGCAGCTTTGTCATCACTCCCTCAAAACCCTGCCCGCTTTGCTTCCAGAAATTCAAAACACATCTCTTCGTTGTGATTGGCCCGCCAGTTCTAGGGTCTGGGGCATTGATTGAGGCTAGACCACTCACAGGCAAAAATTATGTTGGCCGCTGGTGGGTGGGGCTAGTTTACTAGGCTACATTCTTCTAATAAAAATAGATGACCTATTTAAATTTTAAGCAGGGCTGAGTATCGATTCAAATTTCAAGAATTGATTCAATTCAGAGCCCTGCATTGGACTGGCGATCTGTCCAGGCTGTACCCCGCCTCTCGCCTATAGACAGCTGAAGATAGGCACCAGAACCTGTCGCAACCCCGCTTAGGATGAGATGGAGAATGGATTAATTCAGTTCGGTTCCACTCAAGTCTGATCCCAAATTGGATTGGTGGCATAAAAAACTCTTTTTACGTGTTATCTAACAATACATGACTGAGATATACTGCAAAGTAAAACTAGTTTTATATTAGCATTCAACAGAAAATCTGTTAAGTAGTTAATAGCAGCTGTAAGAGCACTGGAAACCTTTGGTTATATAAATCCATTTTTAGGAATTAATATGAGAGTCAATTAACACAACTTTAATTCTCAGGCTGTAACACTGGTTATAGCGTATCCTAAAGATGATGATATGGATCTATACTTTAAATCTGCATCATCATTCAATTGATATCTCAATATGCATTAATGTAGCTACCGTTTCACCTGGTATGGAAACTTTATCCCCCACAGTTTCTGTGAATTTAATTCAAACAATTATTTTGAAAATTGTTTGAATGGGTCAACAACAGGATTTTGTACAAAACACATTAAAACCATGTGAACTTTTAACAACAAACAATTGATGGCAAACATAAAAGTACATAAAAGCTAATTTATCCCAAACACTAAACTTTAAAGAGACAATAATGCCAGCCAGAGAAATTATATTAATGGCCATAAAACCTCCTCCTGTTACCAATATAATTGAACAACAACCACAAACATTTATCTAACCTGCTTTGTAGCATGAAGGGTGGGAGGACTCGGGTTTCTTGAAAGTTTTTTTAAACGTTATTTCTAAGTAGAAGAGTAAAGATTAGACCTTAATCAATGTACCCATTTCTGACCAGCTCTTATTTTTTAGATTGGCAGTTCAATTGCTAAATATTTAGATTGTGTTTGTAATCAAGCATTCTCAGATTCAAGAAACTGAATTAATATAATTTCACTGACAGCTTGAAGCAGGCAAAAAATTATCAAAACACCTGCCCTGACTAATGTGATGGTCATGTTATTGTTATGTTAACGGTTGGCCATTTTCAGGCTTTGGGATAGTACTGAAACACAGTACACAGAATTTACAAATTAAGTGAAAAGCATAGCAGTAAAACCTTGACATGATAGAACTAGCAATATTAGAGCTAAACAGCATAGATATCTTATCCAGAAGGAAAAAACAGAAAAAAAGAAACTGGGGAAACTCCTTCTTACCACTCTTGCCACTAAAAAAATAGATGTTTGCATTCATCAATATAAAAAAGACTGGTTCAAAAGTAGGGATGCACGATATAATCGGCCCCCTATCGGTATCGGCCTGTATCGTCCTTAAAACTGAATATCGGACATCGGCCACCCCACCGATATTTAACCCGATATTTGATCAGCTTCTGAGTTTCTAAAGTCTAAAAAAAAAAATAAAAAATACTAATTCTTCTTCTTCCTCAAAACCTTATTTTTTACAGACTTAAAAACTTTTAAAGACGAGGGAAAAAATATTGATACATTAAAATATCCCAATATCTTCATATGCTGATATATTGCCATTTAAAAACACCATATCAATCTCTTTTACTAATGAAATATTGCTATATGTCATCGTTATGCTACGAAATCCCCCGAAAATTCACGAAATGTTGCCATATTTTTATATGTTGATATATTGACTAGGTATCGATCTATTTTACTAACAAAATCTCACAAGAATTTGCAAAAATCATGAGAGTTTGTAACAGAAAGATGAAATTTCACGAGATTTTAACAAGTAAAATAGATCCATACCACGTTTTTAAAAATCAATTTGATATCAGCATATGAAAATATATTTGAGTATATTATTTTTCAAAGTGTCAGAAATGGATAACAAAACTGCTATTTTCAATGACTACTTATTTTTGTCCAGCTTTAAAATCGGTATCGATATCGGCTACATGAGTTTTAAAATATTGGCATATCGGATATCGGCCAAAATCCCAATTTCGTGCATCCTTATTCAAAATGTCAGCCACTGAAAAGTTCACAGGAAAAAAATCCCTGTTGATTTAAAAGCAGACAAAAGCCTGCCTCAAATTAAAAAAGGATGGATGATCGCTTCTGAAAAAATAATACTACGTACACTTTTGAAAAAATAATACTTTAACTTTATGGTACCTGTGCATTCTATTACTCCTTGCAGAAATCTAACCCCATAGGCAAGAAAGAACATCAAACAGAGTGGTGGCAGTATGATGATATGGGATGCTTTACTTTTTTAGGTCCTCTCCTGACTGATAAAACTATGAATTCTCAGTATTATCAGTGTGACCTTAAGCTCAAGGACACTTGAGTTATGCAGAACAATGATCAGACGCAAATCAGCAATTCCACCTCTATACGGTTAAAAAAAATTCCAGGGCTTTGATTGCCCTGGTCAAATATACAAGGTTTGTTCATGATATGCAGCATGTTCATGTTACTATATATATATATATATATTATATATATATATATATACACACATATATAAATCCAGCAATTCAAACTGGTAAGTACTAAATAAACTAACTTCAAACTGAAATCCAACAATATGTTGTTTATGTCTAAATTACTTCTATAATTGTATTAACCTGCTCTGTTTGAAAGGTATTTACTGATATTTCAATAAGCATTCAAAGACATCTATATTATGTCATTTTGTTCAGTTAAATATTTTATTGAACATGCAGGAATATGAAAAATGACTTGTAGGAAATGAGTCTGCAGAACAAATGATACAGAAACTACCAGCTGCTGAAGAGGCTTCAGCCACAGCTTTCTGTCAGTGTCTGAAGTTCAAATCAGAGGTTTTAGATTAGTTGGGATGACATTTAATTCTTCCAGAGGTCATAAACTCATTTGATAGTTTTCCTCACGTTCTGAACAGGATTATTATTATTTTTTTAACCTAATGCTGTTATTGATCTATTAGTTCCAGCAGTGGGGTAGGTACTGTCAGAGGAAATGTGGTGTTAATGAGGAATAAATCTCCTGTGTCTTGTGTTGTGGAGATCACGTCATCTCTTGGGCCTGTAGACCAGTGTGAAAGGCCTCATGCATTATTTATTGAGGCATTTCTGTGCAGAGACAAGCGGAGCCGGTAGGATGGATGAAGCCCAGTTTCATAATCTGCTTCACACCAACCATAGACGCATAGAGATATTCTCCAAACAACGTGGCGCGCGCTGGCGCTGTGACGCGGTCGGTGTCGCACAGACCGCACACAGGCCCTGATGGATGAAGCAGCAAGCAATCAATCGATCGCCGTGTTTACTGAAGGATGTCATTACGGTAATGGGATGGGAATAATATGGCAGCAGATGAAGCGCTCTGGGCGTCGTTGCTGCGATCGTTTAACTCACCAGATATGCGCCAACGGTGCCCTGTGCCAGCATGAGCGCACATTCCGCCACCAGGAAAATCTTAATGTTGGAAAAACAGGAGGTCTTCTTCTGATTGTCACCCTGCTCCGGGTCGTCCGTGGTGCTGCTTCTCTCTGTGCAAATCTGGCTTTTAACCTGCATCCTTCAGGCTCAGGCTCCGCTGGGGTCGGTCGGCGTGAAACTGAAGGGGTCCGGCCCGGCGTGGAGCATTTGGTTCGGGTGGTGATGAAGCTGTCCTACCTGCGGGAAGAACCAGACCGAACGGAAGGTCTCAACGGGGATGTAGAGGAGAGCGCAGTCCGCTCAGGAGTACATAAACACAGAGACCGTCAGAGACATCGCCTCCTCCTCAGCAGTCCTCTCAGTGAATGTCAGCCTACGTAGCAGCGCGTGTATGGATGAGAGTCCGACACGCGCAGTGACTGGATGCTGCTTCCGGGAGGCTGCATTATTACCGCGCAGAAAGGATGCTGTTATCTATGGAAGCAAATCGTTACCATATTTCAAATGAAAAAGCATTTTCAGAAATGCTTTTTCATTTTAAGAATGTGGCTGCATTATTTGACTTATAAATGAAATTAGTAATAAATAATCCTGTTTGCATTTTCATTTTCTTCTTTAACATTGCTCATCCTTTTACTTAATTAAAATGAAAAAGAGACATTTGAGATTTATTTTTCAAAATTTACCCCAGCAAATACATAGCAAAATTCTATTTGAAATGTAAAATTTGAAAATGAAAAAGCATTTTCAGAAATGCTTTTTCATTTTAAGAATGTGGCTGCATTACTTGACTCATAAGTAAAATTAGTAATCAATCATCCTATTTGCATTTGCATTTTCTTCTTTAAGGCTGCACATTTTATGCCATAATCAAAGAGAAAACACAGTGGGGAAAAAACTGGAGAATAACTATAACCAGGTTTATTTTAAGGAATAAATAATTAAACCTGTAGAGACTCACATGAGGAAAGCTGCTATTACAAAATATTCAATTAATTTATACAGGTAACACAATCATATTCTTCAAAAATATTTCTATCTAAGAAAAACCAGCATGCAAATAGTAACAGTGGAGAGGAAAAATTCCTTTGAACACGAGGGAACCTCCAGCAGAACCATCTGCTGAGGCCAACTGGGGTTCTTTTGGGATCTGGAGATTCTCCAGCAGAGTGCGCTGTGGATCCTCCTGGGCTGGAGCCCTCCAGCACAGCTGACGCTCATCAGCTCATCAGGAGACCGGCCTTTATTAGCAGCAGCCAGACCTTGCTTCGACGCCGCAGTGTTAGCCAAGTTTGGTTAGCGAACCTGAGCCTCTGAATTTACAGTTATTTTCCTAGAGAAACCTTATTCTAATTGCCTCTGTCTTCTCGCTCCTAGGAAATCATTCTCTCGAGAGAAGCTCTGGATGAGCTTAACCTGAATCTGCCTGCCTGCCCTAGAGAGCCAAACCTGAAGACTACATTCTGGAATCCACCTGCTGCTCTTGGGAAAGAGCTAATCACTTCAACCAAGGTCTGTTCACTGGAAGTCAGAAGTAAGACGCTGCTGCTGCCAAAGCACTCTGCTGAACCAACAGTCTCTGGACCCAACCGGTTCCCTCTCTCGGAACAAACCTGGACCTCTTCTAGGTATCCACTGAAATATCTGAAAACCCATTTAACTTATCTGCATACCCAGCTAACCAACTATCCGTCTCTGCAGAAGCCAGATAATCCTGCCCGGACAGAACCTGAATCTTGTCTTGTTTGTGTGAAACTTTAATAAACTCTGTTAAACCTTTTACCAAGTCTCGGTGGTGTTCTGCATGTGGGTTTATCTCTAAACCGATCATGACAGGTTCAAGGAGACAGAAGCAGAAGAAGACATAAACGCAATAAGTTCTTTGGTGCTCTGGCCCCGGCAGAAAACTTCAATGCTGTTAATCAACATATGCTTGGATGAGACCTAGACCTGGACCTAGAAGAGGATTAGAGTCGTCTTCCCCCGGGGCCTGGGCACTGGTGGTGGAATAAGCCAGAGGCTGAGTGGGACTGAGAATGGGGGAAGAGATGGGGTCGAGGTGGGTGAGAGTTTGTTAGCATTCGGGAGAGAGAAGCTGGGACAGGAGCTAAATGAAGGGGATCTTGCAAGATGGTTGGCTTCTGTCGAGGTGCCGCCCCCGAGCTGATAGACTGGAGTAGAAAGATGGACAATGCAGGTGGTTCAGGTGAAAGTGATAAGAGTCTTACAGATTGAATTTACGCTTAAAGTCGTAGAGAAGCGGCTGTTCCAAGGTTGCATTTCGGAATTCCCCCGAGTGATGCACGACTTTACACGAGTGAATAAAGTGAATGTGATTGGTCGTTTATCAAAGGGGTGGGATTGTTGTGGCGGAAGGTTCGCAAGCAAGTTTGATTGTGGCCATTTCCTCTGAAGCATCTTGCTAACAAGTTAGCAACGTAGTGCTAGTAGGTTCCCAATGGGAAATTCCATTGGGACCAAGTAGCACTAAATTGGTGACTTAGAAACGACACTGTCAAGGAACGCTATGGACAGCGGAAATATGCAAAAGGAGGAGAGTTTAGTATCGTAGGTCGTGGATGAGTCTCCTCCGTCATCCATTTTTTATTTAGAAAAGGAAAGCGGGGACGAAGATGTTGTGGAAGAGGACGCCAGGGCGGCAGAAGCTTGGTTTGGTGTAGAAGGCTTCCAGCCGTACATGTTTGAGCCCTTGCCTCGCAACGCTGCCAGTTCTGTTAGCTCTACGCCTGCCGAAGACACAGACGTCCATCCCCGTGAACACTGGGACGCAACTCAATGGGAAAGGAAAGGATTCTGATTTCAATCCATGCGTATATTAGCTGCGACATATGAATCAAGATGCTATGACCGAAAAAATTTGATTGACAGATGACCGTTGATATATGATTGGCCGAATTTAGGTGTTCAAGCTGACGTATAACTAACTGGCCTGTATAAGATAACGAAAAAAAAAAAACAGATTTTAAGACAGGATTTTATTTTTTTTTTATAGTGATTTTCTCAATTTTGGGACAATATGGTCTGATAAACAGTAAATTGACGTAGATATTTAAGCCAGAATAATTTGACATTTAAATATGATTTCCCTAAGACTTTAAGTTTCATTACCAAAAATACTGAAAAGAGATGACAGGGAGAGGTAAAACTAAAAAAATCAAAAATGATTGAAATCTTGTCAAAAACACAGAGTAAAATAAAATAAAGTATAACTGGGAACCCAAAATAAACTCTAAAACAGAACCAAACAGTCCAGAATGGCAGATCATGAGGGGGAAAAAATACACTGGCTAATATATGGAGTTTTCAGCTTTGCTATATAAGCTCTTTGAATAGATAGAGATAGGTAAGAGTTTCTTTCAAGTCTGACAACCGTGATCTTAATATCTTTCCAAACCCATGTTTTTGTTTTTTTACTTACTAGGGCATATCGGTTGTTTACAAAGCCAGAAGCTTATCTACTAAGCTATTTTCTTTGTGTTTCATAAATGAATGAAGTAATGAATGAGTAATTTTTATTTCACACAATTAAGTAAAATAGCAAATGTAACATATCCACACATTAAGTGTAATTAATGATGCATATAATTACTACAGTACTGATTTTTCTTTAAAGGACTATGAAGTAGCAAAACTGATCCAATCATACCACTTTTACTATCTATAGTCCTTAACACCAACAATTTTCTTAATATTCTATATACATGTAACCATAGGTATAAATTCACACGTGGCTTAAACACATCTTAGACAGATTTATTTTGTCTTTTTGTAAACACGAGTGTTCACAAAAAGACATTTTGTTTAAAACAGCTCTAGAGAATATCATCTTTTTAAAGGGCAGCATTGAAAACAGTTATAAATACATAAAAAAGTAATATGAAAATATTACTGTATATTTACATTTCTATCATAATTTTTTATATATATATAATAAAATAACCATGAAATTAAACATTAAATTTAACGTCTTTTCTCCATTTTATGTTTTTTATAAGAAAATCAGTTTGAGTCTTTTTTCTAAACAGCCTCATGCTTGGACATTGATTTAATTCAACTCTTTCACACCACGTTTTGAAATGCACATTAATCTCATGTTTGTTAGACTACGTACAATTTATAAAAACAGATCATCCCTCTAACTATACCCTTACTCTCTCTAAAAAAAAAAATCTTTGTATGCCATCTGATAGCTGTTTATTTCTAGCATTATAAATAGATTGTGAGAGGTGAAATTCTACCAAATTAGAAAACGCAAGCAATGAATGAAAGTTAAATTAGTGTGCTCATGATAGCTGGCTTTATGTCCTGGGTTATTGCCTGTAGGTGTTACCTCAGCTTTTTATACAATACCTTAAGGTATGGTAAAATCTGTAAATAATAATATATATATATATTATTTTTTTTTTTTTTTTTACCTTATGATTCAACTGTACTTTGTGAAACTTCCTCTCAACTCCTTTCTGCATCTATGGAGCTCAATCACAGTTATCTTTGGGTTCTCCTTGATCTCTCTCACCAAGGCTCTTCTCCCACCATTCCTTAGTTTGGCTGGACGGCCAGGTCTAGGAGGAGCTCTGGTCCCAAACTTCATCTATTTCAGGATAATGGAGGTCACTTTGCTCTTAGGAACCTTGAGTGCTGCACAAATTCTTTTGTAACCTTGGTCAGATGTGTGCCTTTCCACAATTCTGTCTCTGAGCTCCTTGGACAGTTCCTTTGACCTCATGATCACGAGCTGTAAGGTCTTATATAGACAGGTGTGTGCCTTTGCTAATCAAGTCCAATCAGTTTAATTAAAAACAGCTGGACCCCAATGAAGGAGCAGAACCACCTGGAGGAAGGACAGCATGTAAGTTAAATATGAGTCACAGCAAAGGGTCTGAATGCTTATCCCAGAGTTTAAAAAATGTATTCATAAAAGAATATCAGATCAATTGTCAGTTTTTACAGCAGAAATGGTGGCAGTTATATTAAGCTTGCAATGGGTGGAGGAGATTCGACCAATCAGGGTGGTGGTGTGCACAGATTCTAAAGCAGTAGTGGAAAGTATTAAGGGAGAAGGAAATAATAGAAAAGATTTGGTATTAGAAATTCATCATATTTTATTTAGATTATAT